CACTGCAAAGGGGAAAAGCCGTAGCAGACTACCAAGGTAGACACAAACCGGAAGTGAACCGAGCAGGGGTGAGTACTTATGGGACTACTGTATCAGAGCGATCAATTGCGCTCTGCACCATCTGAGATTGTCTCACTAGTTCATATTTAGTTGAATGATATACCATCTTTTGAAAAGGTCGTTAAGATGAGGTCTTTGAGATGCTTTTGAAATTAATTGGCAAGGGGACATAGCCAATCCTCTAAGAAACCTCATTTTGAAGCCACTTGATTGCACTTTGTAATATACCGAGGCACATGCATTTGAAGCAAATTTAGGAGCATTCACATCATCTTGAATCGTCACAAATTTTGGGTCGTCAGGATAATTTTTTCTTTCTTTGTAACAACTGGAAATGACTACAACTCTTCAATTGAAAGGCGATGAGAGGAAATAGACCGTTTGTTGCATTTGACACACCCTTTTTTTGTCTTCCTATTAGTGGAAGGATTATCAGTTGAATTTGGGAGAAGCAAACATATAAATGACCTACCCATGGCATTCCAAGCCATCCTTGGCCATGGTTGTCCTGGTCTCGGTTTTCTCTGTGTATAGTCAAAAATAAAAAATGCCTTAACCACCTCAACAACAAAATAACATATTAGGAGAAAGTGCTTTGAACTTGGTTAAACTGTGTGATTATACTTATAATTAATTATTATTGACATGCATTAGGCTTGGTTAAGAAAGTAACGTGATGAGGAAATGAAAGTAAAGCTGACTTTATGTCTCTTTCTAATTTTTGCTTTTTTATAAAATATTTCTATACAGAAGATGTTTTGATAAACAAGTAATGAGAGATACTAGGTAACAATAATAATAATAATAATAATAATAATAATAATAATAATAATAACAACGAATATTTATACAGGATAGCCCTTCAGTGCAAGAGTACTGTTATCAACGGGGGCCTGTCTAAATAACATAATATAAGGATAAAAACTAAAATAAGTTAAGAATGACTTCGTAAGTTATTAACTACACTATACATAAAATTGATCTAAAGACTCCCTGAATAGTACCCTACTGCTAATTTGCTTGATTTTTAAAGGTAAAGAATTAAAAGCTGAAGCGCCTAACAAGTAAAAACTTTTTCGATCAAAGTCAAGTTTCACTTTCGGCAGAGCTATGGTGGTCCCGCTGTTCCTCGTATTAAAATCGTGGGTTAAAAAATTAAAATAATTTTTAAAAGGACTACAAACATTGCCTTTTAGGCAATCAAAAACAAATTTCTGATTAGCTGAAACTTGAAAGGAATAGGCTATTTTGAAAACGGCGTGACGTTTGACCTTTGCTCGTGTTTTGATAACAGAAAAAGTTAAATGTTGAATGTTTATAGTGGTTGATGCGCGTAGCAGCGCTCTTACATGCGACTTCTCATAATAGAAGTATGTAATTCAACTATCTACAGTAACTGAAATCTTATAATTAAATAGATAGTAACATTTTGATTTACTGACCCACTTTCTTCGTTGAATATGATAAATACCATTGAACACTGAATAAATCCTTGCATTCCATCAATAAAGATGAGGTAGTTCCAGACGAACATGAAGGATCCATGTTCAAAATTTAGAAGTATAAATAACATATCATAACGAAGTAGTTCCTGCAAAAGTGGAAGTACATAGGCTAATGAACGTTCTGTTTTCTTTGATTTGAAATAAAACATGAAGAAAATTGCTTTTACTGGATATCCTTACCGCAGTGCCTCGTGTTACTCCTGCAACGGGCTGCGTGTCCATTTCAACTAGAAATGTTCTGCAAACCAAAGCACAAGAAAATAAATAACACTCATTCTCAAAAGTCAGTTGGTGTATACCACATTACTGTCAGAACGTTTGGTATGAACTGAAGAAAACTCTTTGTTTGGTTTATCGTCAAGCAAAGATATATAGAACAATCAGAATTATGTCAGTCAAGCTGTTTCAAATACGTTTTCCTGTGTTCGTTTTCAAAATATACCACGAAGGAAAGAAAGAATTACCATAATTACCAATTACCAAGTCCTGTTGAACCCAGTGGATGGCCGTAAAAAGGTCTTAAATTAGATGGAATATGAACTTCTCACTCGCCGTAGCTTAAACGAAGGAATATCCCTTTGTTGCGTCTTTTACCACCGCTGGCTTAACCTCTGTTTTGCAAGGGGGAGAGGTGGGCGGGGATTTGTTGCTTTACTGAAACCACGACTGTCTGATGCCAAACAGACGTGCCCAGACATTCCTTCATCGCGTACGTTTGGATCTGTAATATTGTAATATGTAATACTGTAATGTGGCTAGCTCCGCCAGCGAGAAAGATTAACTTAAAAGAAATATATATATACACATATATATTTACACTTTGCTCTGATTGGCTAACTTGGCCGGCGAGATGGGGCTATCGTACCCGCCAGGGATTGCCCGCTGTGTCCCGCAAGAAAGTGATGCTCTTCGTGCAATATATCCGTCACTGGCTAAGCTTGTTCGGTCAAGATGGCTAGATATTGGCCTGGTTCTTGTTTGTTTGTTTATAGACTTCGATTAGTTCTTGGTCCATATACACGTAAGAAAAGAACTCGACCAATATGCAGACATCCTCGTCATACGCTTGGTCAATAAGACAGACTGCTACTTTCGTTTAAATCTTGTTTTGTGGGAAGCTTAAGCCTGCTCTTCAGATAAAAAAAGTGTAAAATATAATCTAAACTTACCTATGTTGAACTATCCCTCTCTCAAATTTCTTGAGTCAGTAAATGCAATACGATCTCATGCCAATGTAGATGTTACTGAACAAGGAAAACGGGAATAATGGTGGCCACATTTGAAATACAGAACATTTTACAACAATATTGTTACTATTAATAGCAGCAAGTTGGCTCACTCTTTTTCCTCCAAGTTGGTATAGATTCTCTTTTTTCGTTTTCTTTTTCTTGATACCGTCGTATAAATGGAAGTACTTGATGCTCCTATATACAAAACCTTCATAACGTTGTAGGGCTGCTAGCGTGGTGACCAAATAAATATGTTTACGGTTGAATTCATGCACTAGTAACACGCTCTGTCCCGTTGACTGACCATGAGTCATGTTTGGAAGGCCGACAACAATGACGGTTGTAATAGCCTTAGATCGAGGTCACGGAGGAGGGGCCAAAATTGCCCAATAACATGCTTTGTATTATTTTTCGAGGAAATGGCTGGGCTGCAGCGGTGTTTAGGTCAAGCCACAAGGATTTAATTGCCAAAGCTGTTTCGGTGTACCAACGACATTTTGGTCTGATTACGTGCATCTGACTCGCAGTTGATTCTATTACGGAAATTAAAACAAAGAAAGCAGATATTTCTGCAGTTGACAACGACTGGCTTACGTGTGTAAGCCCTGTTTTGATGAACTTGGTCGGTGACCCTTAAAACAAACATGTCATGTTTAATGTCTTTGTTCTATTATGCATCAAACTGATTTGCAACTGCATGACTCAAGCTGTTGACACTAAAACAGCGGTATCAATTTCTATTATTAAGTTCTCGAACCTTAGACTTTGAAACGGAAATTGATTCAATGCGTTTCGTTCCTTTGGACTGTTATTCTGGGCTGTAGGCCATAACTGCCACGGCAGTCAGAATTGATAGGTATTCAGCATGCACGTTGTTTTTTAGAAGACTTAACAGTTGTAAAACAATGACATGGCAAAACTGCTAGCATATGGATGATACCTGGTGATTTTAGCAATGGAGGGGTCGCCAGCGAAAAATAAAAACGGATTGGTCGAGGTTTAGTAAGATAAATGTTATTTTTTCCCTTCTTGGTCTAGAAAGTTGTCATTCGTGTGGAACATTACTACAAATTTTGCGGTCTGCAGACTTCAGATTTAGAATAGGGATAAAATGCGAGTGAAATATGCGGGCTGATTCCACTATATAACAAGCATCAACCGTTAACAGAAGAACTTGAACGTTATTTCGGCTACTTGGAGTGAAAGTCTTTGTTTTTAGAGGAAAACTCTGCGAATTTCGAACGAATGTTTGTTTCGTAAGCGGTCAGAGTGAACTTTACATGACTCTTTTTTTAAAGTGCAACTAACCCCTCAATTTTTCCCCCCTTTCATAAAATATGCTAGTTTTCCCAATTACTTCAGCGAAAAAATTATCTCGATTGATAAAATCCCCGCTTTTTTACAGGCATTTGAAGTTGTAATTTCTATGCCCACGACTGCGCAAAGTGCGATCTGGGTCGGGCTTCTTGTGACGTCATCAAAGGAACTGGGCTGAAAGCACACGAGAGACATTTGACTGGGTTTCGAGCGCTGTGAGAACATTTTGGAGGGTTAGTTGCACTTTAATAAAAAAGGAAAAGGCGCCAATATTTGTTTGTATTAACTTCCTTTATTATTATTTTTTCTTTTATTTCTCATGACTTCAATACTTATGATTTATGAATTATGATTTACACCAAAGGTTAGTTAATATCCTCCTCGTTATACATTCTCTTTACATAATGAACATTTGTAAACCAACAATGTATTAATGTATTTCGTAAACAACTTAACGACTTTTAAATATGGTAAACTTTTTAACTTTTAAATAAACTGTCCCTTTTGTGGCCTTCGTCAACCCGGTGATAGAGCACCTGCAAATTAAGTAAAATTAGCTAATGAGCTCTAAGTTCAATTCAATATTTCCTCAAGTATTTGCTTCTTATTTAAATTTGTTTGTTTCTTGTTTGTGTATTTGTTGATTGGTTGTTTGGTTGCTATGTTTTCCGTTTTTTCGGTTTTCCAGCGTTTCTCAAACCTCAATGTATTCTGGACATCTAAATTTTGTGATTATTGCATTTCATTGAACGTGTAATTTCATTTCCCTCCTGTAATAACTGGGACGAAAAAGTAACTTGAACGGTTGTTGTTGGTTAGTTGGCATGGTAAAAAGGTAAATTCTTTACTTGCACAAATCCCATAATACACCTCTTTTGCCCCCCAAAAATTTGCATAGGCATTGTTTTAGATTTCTCTTGGAACATCTTCATGTCCTAGGAGAAATTGCAAAGAATGATGATGCAACATTTTTGGGGGGGGGGGGTAAAAGAAGTGTATTGTGGGATTTGTGCAAGTAGAGACTGAAAAACAACCATTTGGCTCAAAACATTGTGTCCACGGGAAAAAAAAAAACTACTTTAAATATATTCTATCTGCTCATGTTGCCATGGGAATATTGACCTGACTGAGATTGAAAAACTAATCCTTCTAATTGAAAACTGTGTGCAATTCAGTAATACTACCATGTTTTTGACAGGACAAGCTCGTGCATATTATCTTACTTTCTCTCTGACTTTGCAACATTCGTGTGCTATTTTTTGGTAACCTTTCAATATTACAGACTCATTCCCTTTCCTCTCCTCGTTTAAGGAATGTGGGCATTTCTTTCTCAACCTTACGAAAGATTGTATCTGAGGACAATTTTTGATATAAGTGTAAATTCTACTTATAGATTGCCCCATTGCTTGGAAGAATTTCAGCAGCAACAAGGTGGAAGAAGGCATGAAGAAATCAAGCAAAAAAAGGATCATCACCTGATCAGGAAGAACTCGGTGGAGGAAAGCAAAATACAAGAAAAAGTGTAACGTGGTACCACTCGGGCAAATATATTGCCACACCTGTGTTTGAATGTTGGGGCCACAACTGTGTTGGCGATAGCAGACATTTGATGTATCATTGATTGTCACTTGAGCAAGGAAAGGGAAAATACTCTTGTTTGATTGGTATCTACGAACTTCCTGGTAAATGTTTGGATGCACTGTTCTGGTACACAATGTGGTGTAAGTAGGCACTACCACAGGTATTACTCACCTCTGGTTTGGTCATTCATGAGTATTTTAAGTCGGATGGCAAAGGACTCCCTCTGAAAGATAAAGTTTCAATTAGCTCCAGTGAGTGTTGAACTTTCTGGAAATGTACAGCAAAGAAAGCAAATATTTGGTTCAAGCACGTTACAACAAACAAGAGGAGAGGCGCACACAAGAGGAGGTAATGTGAAAAATATTTTCTGCGTACCTGGAGCCTTGAAAAGATTCTTGCATCTTCCCTGAGAGGAATTAGAAGTGTAAATGATTGTTATGAAAGCAAAGATGAAACATTGTGGTCAACTGATGCAAAGGTAAAGAGGTAATGGCACAAGTCTAAAAGAGGGCAATTGTTGGTGGAAAGATATGCTATTGTGTTGTTGAAGATTGAAACGCAGCCAGGATGAGACAATAAAAATACAATTAAAACGTTCGCTGGCTAAAAATTTCAAAAAGAACATGAGCTTTCGGCTGTCGATCTACAGCCTTCGACGGAAAAAAAATGGAATTCAAAATTGTAAAATATATGTAAGAAAGGCGAGATGAAAATTTTTACTTTGCTTTTGTTCTTCTTATTTTTATGTCGCCTTTTCTTGCATATATTTTATCATTTTGCATTCCATTTTTTATCCGTCGAAGGCTGTAGATCGACAGCCGAAAGCTCATGTTCTTTTTGAAATTCTTAGGCAGCGAACGTTTTTATTGTATTTTTATTATTGTATTGTTGGTCTCATCCATGCAAACGCATGGATCCAATCAACAGTACAGGGTGCTTAGTGCTTTGACTTGGAACTTGTTTGCAGGATGGTATAGGGTACGTTTTACCAAAGGATTAATGATTTATAGCCAGCATTACACCAGTGCCATGCCTAACGTTAACAGGAACGAGGAAACTGACACAGCAAGGAGTTCATTGTTTTTACTACAGTTTTTGATAGAGAAAGGTTGTATCCCATCGCGCAAGTGATATGTTGGCACTCAGCGATAATGTTTACAGTTTCAATGTAGCTGAGTACCAAGGGGAAACAGAGCCTGTCAGGTATTCAGCTGAGGTGGGGATGATGATTACATCTTATAACATGTGTAAATGTGGTGAAAGGGTGAAAAGTTATTCTTGGGCAAACGAATAGGCACATCTTTAATCCGTAGGTATATAATGCGTGTATGCCTATATTCATTACATTTAAAGAAGAAATTAGACAAGGCATACCTGCGTTGTTGGTGAGATGCGATAACACTCCTCCTTATTAAATGCATCTCGTTCTAAAGAAACCCAAAAGGGATATTAAGTACTGTTATGCTGCCAGATGCTGCGATAGTGCCACACAAGTGCAAAGACATTGTACAATTAATTCACTGCTTACCAAAACTTGGAGGATGGGGGAGGTTTGCTCACTACAAGAAAGAGATATCATATTGGTACGGTGTGTACGATACTATTATGGTGTTGATGTTGTGGCTCAAGACCTCCACGTGCATTATTGCCTTTAATCTTATGTAACGAGTTTCACAAATTTAGTTTATCTTACACTGTGGAGCTTTCTGTTAGTTGCGAATAAGGGAGGCCAGGAGATGTTATTGAGTGAAATATCTAACAGTCACACCCAGGAGCACTTTTGGGTTTTACAAGGCCAGCACAGGGATATCTATTGGTTTTTATTTCGTCTACAATTCTTACCGATAGACGAAAACGTTTCATCTAACCCGGCAGCAATACATGTACAACGTTTTACAGGATTCCAAAGCCTTGTAAATTTCTAATCTTACCTTGTGACATGTAGTCTTATTTGTGTGGCCTCAGCCTACAAGACAAAGTTGAATTGTTCTTATGAGATCTCGTTAGGCTGATATAACTTATCGTACTGTAGGGAGTTCGTTTTTAGCTCTATGGCAGGTTGAAAAAATATTTGATTTGGACACAAAAAATGGCAAACTGGTACAACGTCTGAAACTCGTTGCAAACGAACGTATGTGCAAAAAAGCAATGTTCCAAGTCCTCCAGGCAGGACAAACATGGTTAGAAGTAACAGTAAAGCATTCATCAGTAGCGAAGCATTTCTATGGCTCACCTCAACTTCTTTTTGTAGCTGCTTATCCGTCTGAAATAAAGTGTTAAACTTCAAAACTGTTGTTTAAAACATGGGTATTTAGATACATATTTTGTAACACTTGGCTTGTATTATGCTGTTTTCTTGCAGAGGGTAGGCCTAGTTCTCAAATGTGTTGAGATGTATCCGGAGATTAAACACTGAACTTGTGTCTAAGTGCCATAGATGAACTGAAAAAAAAAGACGAGCACAATAAACAAAAACACTTACCTCAACGTGGCCGAAATTCTGTGCCTTGCAAGCATTGACATGCGCAGGCATTTCACCAGTGACGTCATAAATTTATGCTGTTTTTTAAGCGCCAACAAAGTAAAGTAAGAAGTTTGCTTAAACCACTCAAGACTGTTGGATCCATTCTGTTGGATCTTCGATTCCATTCGGTTGGATCTCATTTCTGATCTTCTGAAGATGAAGTCTCTGATTGTCCCTTGGGTTTTTTCAGGCAAGTGCTAAGGAGTGCGTGGCCGTCTTTCTCGGTTGGTCTCAACATCTGTGAGAGTCGACGAGTTACTTAATTTGAAAATTAACCAAAAAAACTGTTTAGCTTCAGTATGACGCTCATGCTTGGAAGTCACTCTGTCCTTTTCTCTTCAGGCTCAGTCAAAAATCAAGTTAAAATTAAAGTACGCGTTTGTCACGTCTTGATGCTTTGTCCGTCTACTGAAAAATGAAGCCAACAGGAAATTACTACCCTGTTGAGACAGGAATCCATGATTGACGTGTCATGCCCTGATTCAGTCGCAATCTTGCGGTAATATCAGCAATCTGGAATGACACACACCACTGTTCCTGTCGCTATGTCTGTCTGTCTGTTTCAAGATCTATCAAAAGTATGTTATGTTCACAAATGTTCGGAATCAAAGTAAGTTAAATTAATTTTCATTCCATTAATCATCAAGCAAATTCCTGTTCGAGAGTTAGCTGAATGGGTGCTTTTAAAACAAAAAGCTATGCTGCGTCACGTGTATGTCATTTTCTAAATGAGCAGTCTTGAGAATAAAGAACGTTTCTAGTGAAATCTATTATCTGATCGGGGGTGGGATCACATCAATCATAATTCGTGCATGACTGGTAAAGAAGCCGCCATCGCGTGATCACAGCGTGATTAACTTTACGGGCTGGTGCCAACGGTAAACAGAACGTTGGAGGCCTACAAATAATCTGATATCCTTGTTGTATTGTTCTTGAGCCCGAAATCCGTCTATGATTGTGTAGAGGTCTGTTAATCAACGTATGTTGTCGACATCTTAATAAATTCATAAGTTAGATTCAAATTGCCGTTCTTGTTAACGTTCCTTTTATTTTACTGTCAGGAATGCATTCATTTTAGAGGAAAGCGTGTTAAGTGTGAAAATTTCCATCTTCCCGACCTTTTCTTTCACAGATATTTAAGTAATCCGTTTTGAGTTCTAGAGCCCTTGGTCAGTATTAAATAACCGTAACGTAAGTGTCAAAGAAACGTCTTCTCTGATTGGTAGCTTTCTTGATTTGCCCTTTCGCACAACGTAACGTCAGTGGCTTGTTTTCCCACGCACAGTATTAGCGCCAGTGGTCGCATTGTGTCCGATCTCGACAAATCGTTATAAACTAAGGATCAAGCGTTTATTTTCTGTGAAAGTCAAAAAAGGCATTTGCGTTTCTTTCCATTCCCTTAATTCTCTGCGACAGAAAAGCCAATGTTTTCAGTTACCGCTGACCCTAAAATTCTATATCAGGGATCCTGTCCACATTCATTAAACTAATGAAGAGTCACGACCGAAGAAAAAATACATTACACTGTTTTCTGTGTACGTGGGGGATTCTTGATTATATCTAAAATAGCATGGGAAATTTGGCGACTAACGTCTTTAACCACAGTAATCTAAAGCCTCCGGTTGTTGTTGCTTACAGAGAATATTAGAAACGTTTATCTCAAAGTGCACTGAAGCAAAAAATATGGTCTGGAATCAGCAGAAAATCCCGGGAATCCATCAATTCTTAAAGACTGAAATGGCCTGATCTTGCTTCATTGAGACCAGGGAGACTAGTAATCATCTGCAGAAATGAGAATTGGTCTACGAGAATGCACTTTGTGGATTGCCCATGTCTCCATATCTGAAATGACCATCGTCACCCTCGAAATACTTAAATGCTAGTAAATTAAATCTGCTTAAGTTAGTAACTCTTTTGCATTGTGTGTGACTACCAGCGTGAGAACAAACTATTGCGGCATTCATCAATTTCGTTTGACAACTCATGTTTGAAGATAAAGTCGCACCAGGACCCAGCTGACCTACCTTTCATGATTGGTCTTGCATGATTTCCGTCCCATAAATAAACGAGGATTGTTACTGCTCTCTGTTCGGATGCTATTCGATTACAGGTGGGAACAAGGGTTTCTACCTCCTGGATTCCACTCCGATGAGCTGTGAAATGAAAATTTCACTGAATTAAAATCTTTCAGTCGTGGTGCGTCATGTAATATATATCCCTAATTCTTCATGTGGAACCCATAACGTTCAGTCGTTAACCAAAGCCCGACAAAGTTATACTGAAAGGTAGCTATAGTTTCACTAGGCTTAAAATTTGAAAATCTTTGTGGATACTCGTAAACCAATTCTCAGAAATGTCATGACAGTAATATGCTGCATTAGAAATTAACAATTCTTGGAAAAGGGGCTCAAGTTTAAGAAAACACGGATTAAGATCATTTCAATGATGCTTGACTTAAAATCTCTCAGTCAAGGTACGTCGTGAAATAATGCATCCACTAAACAAGCCCACGCACTGAAGTACAGTATCGCATTATTAGGGTAAAATCGTTTCACTCACCAGTTCATTCTTAGCATTATACAAAGCTTTTACTAGGATGAGCTGGTAATTCTTGAGTATCGAACTAACACTGCCATCAAGAATTTCTTGAGAACTGTCCTGTTCAAACTGAATTATATTTCTAGTTTCTCAAACTATGTATGAGGCCTTATTACCTTTAAGTCAGTAAACGACTCGACAAAGTAACTAAAATGCATAATTACTAGGGTTGAAACTTGACAATGTTTGTGGATACTCTCAAAAAAATTCTCAGAAACATCACAAAAGTAACACGGTGCGTTGTAGATGAGAAATTCCTAGAAAGAAGACTCAAGCTGAGGACTCGACTTCAATCATTAATATGATACGAGAGATTTTTAGGCGACATTCAAATTACCTTCTGTCTTCAGGACATTTGAGGGTCGTTCATTTTATTTATTTTTATTTTTATTTTTTTATTTTTTTTGATCCATGCGTTGCTGTCAAAACCTCTTCTGATTTTAAAGGTAATGACACAAGTGGTATAAGGATCTACTCCTTCAGGGCCGGTTGGAAACAATGGCTTTCGTTAAGCAGAAAAAGAGGCATTTCTTTAGCCGAAAAAAGGTAAATCAGGTTATTTAAGTGTCAGAATCTTTAGCACTACCGTACTAACCGAGGACACTGAAAATGTAAATTGAGCAGTAAATTGAACATAAACTTGTTATATATCCCAACTGGCGGGAGGCTGACCAGTCGGCTATTTACAAAGCGTGTAGGAGTTGAATCTGGGACCACCTAACACAAATCCATCTAGTGGCAGGGTGGAGGATTTGATTATAAATCCAGCGCCCTGATCACGAGGCCACGGTGCCTCCAAAGAGATCATTTGTCGACACTGATATGGTGTTAACGATACTTGAGAACTCTGAGCAAGGTTTTAGTTATTTGTTTATAGTTTGAGGCAATAGAAAATACAAGTCAAGTGTTTTAGCTCTTGCGAATAAGAAAGGAGCTATATAACAATGAAAACTGCAGGACGTAGCGTATCAACGCACGGTGCAGGAAAGAAGCATTTGGTGGAACTGAGCATCATTATCCACTAGTGGAAGCTACTTGAGATAACACTCTTCAAATCTGATGAAACAAAACTTAAGTAAATTTTCAGTCAAATAATGTTTATGATGACATGATCCGAATGTGTATGCTGACTAGAGAAGTTCTGTTGTGCGGTATGGTGAGTTAGGACGCTAGCATACTGACAGGACATTCTTAGTGAAACATGTTAGTAAAATAAGAATGTTACCGAAATAAGATAATATTTAACCAAAATTGCCATCGACAACTACTTCCCATGTGGTTTTTACTTCTTTTTTTGTTGCAAGTATACGATATATGCCTTACTTCTGTTTTGCCATCAGTAGTCCGGCGGAGGTACTCGACAAAGTTTTATACGGACAGGCTCCGCTCCGAGGCCCAGCCCATACCCCTTACCCTTTTATATAACATTTTGACAAAAAAGGTACCTCTTTCTACCCCCTTTCTACCCCTTTCGTATACCTTTTATTGAAAAAAGTACCCCCATCACACATATACTTACGAACACTGAAACTGCTGTAACTGGCATATTCTATTACTAAATCACCAAAAATAGAATTCTTATTGTCATTTTCATGTAGTGCATAATAAATGAAATGATACAGCCATAAAGTGCTTCCTTTCGAAATATATTGATTAAACATCCTTTAAAATACCGAAATGACAGATTTTCCGACCCTTTCATGTACCTCAACTCGTGAAATCCCTACCCTTTTATATACCTGAAGCCTGCAAAAGATATCACTTTCGGGCGGAGCCTCCTCGAATAGCCCATTATAGAGAGCACCCTCCGGGCAGTAATCAGGCTGACAAAGATACCAAATGCCGATATACAGGGTTAGAAGTTTGAAAATAGTTATGAATACTCTTGAAACAAATTCTCAGAAAAGTCCAAAGTAAGGCGCTGATTCCTAGATGAGCAGATTTCTAGAAAATGCTGGGGAAGTTACAGCGTTAATAATTTAAAAAGCCTTAGGACTTTTTTGCGTACGTTTCTCAA